CGATCCGGGTACGGTAGTTCTAGCCCAAAAGCCAACGCAGTCATAAGTATCCCCCCTCCATACAATGCACTTGTTAATCAAATGTTATCACATGGGAAAAAACCATTTGGTATATCAATCAATAATCGATTCTGTTTCATGCAAAAACAGTCTATAGAAGTCAGAATTGATAATTTTCCTCAAACCGTAAAGTATATTTCACATAAGGACTATATCTGTTGTGCCTACTCCTAAAACTAATTTCAACCAATTTTCCAGGATTCCTGATGATATGGTGGGGATGGCTGGCATTTAATACTTCGTCTAACTACTCCGTCTCAGGTCAGCAATGGACAGAAGGAAGCCGGTGGGTCTAATTGTGATTCCACTATCTTCCCTGATAATAATTGAACAATTCAACGGATTCGCTGGCTTCAGATCCGCTGTTGGGACTATTATGGCGTCAGTCGGTGGCGGAATGGTTACAGTACTGATTTCACGATACACAACAAAAAAGATCGAAGTCGACATGTTCATAGATGGACTACTAGCTTCCTTAGTTTCGAGTACAGGTACCCTTTGAAGTACTCAGAGAGAGCATTTCAATAAAATCAGGGCTTCGACTGTGTAGTGCGACCTAACAACCACAATAATAAAGTAAGGAAGGAAGTAAGTTTTCAGCCGGCTGCCTTTTCTACACCCCATGGCAAGCTACGTTGGTAGGAGCGATCGGATCAACATTAGCCCTGATAGCTTATCCAGTGTTGGAGAAAGCAAAGGTACGATAAAGGCAATTCCGGATACGGTATCGTAATCCAGTACCGATACAGTAAACAGTTTACCACAACAGGCAGCTACGTTCCGACCTATAGTTGAATCAGTTTTTCTTCAGATTGATGACCCAGTTGGTGTGATTCCTGTACATGTGGTTGGCTCAGTGTGGGGAATGATCAGTCCAGCGCTATTCGTCTGTCGCGATTTCGGTTTGGAACAACATAAGGTTTGTGAAGGTCCGAATGCGATGAAAGCCCTTCCTTGTACCTTTCTCATTCCAGGTTACCAACGAGAACGATCTCTCAGGACTCCTCTACGGTGGAGGGGTGACGCTACTGCTCTATCAGCTTGCAGCTCTTGGGGCGATAGCGGTTTTCAGCGCATTCAGTGCATTCACAATACTTTGGGTTGGTCTTTTTTTTCTACTATAATATTTTGTCGTAGTTCCAATAGAGACAATGGTGCGTTGCGTACAGCTCGCGCCGCTGTCATGCACGTTATCTCGAGATCAAATCCGGGATCGATACCCGCCCTAGCCCAAGAACAAATTATATCTTTATTTATGCTTGCCAACACGCATACCTGTAAATACATATTAAAACTAGTCTCTGCGGGTTGGTGTCAGACTCGTCTGGGAGATTCAAAAGCTTGACTTAAACATCGGCTGGCCCCCGTAATTTTCTAAACCGGGCAAATACGCATTGAATTCCCAATAGAAGACGCGAATGAAATGCCCACTCTACAAGAAGAAATTTTTCTCCGAACTTGGTGCGGAAGCTCACCCTATTAACTTTTTTAGGGGCAACTTGGGCTAGTGGCAAGTACGCTATGAAGATAGCTTGAGACTCAAGATCGAAGCCCGTCCTAACTGCCTTCCAACCCTTCAAAAGCAGAAAAAGCCTCGCCTGAAAGTTCAAAACATTGCCTGGTACATCGACCAGCCCCCGCAAGCTGCTTTAGTATCGAATAAATACGCATTAAAAGGCTAATCCAAGTGAAAGACGCGTATGGCCTATCCCAACGGAGAGCTCATCAAAGCGAAGCATTCTATCATTAGCCTTTGATGTAACCCCCGTCGTACGTGAATTCTAGTAACATAGGAAAATGTTTGAACACTTGAAGAAGACTACGCAAAGCGTCCATCCTTCTCTATTGCCCCTCAAAGAGTCATAAATAAAGAAATCCGACGTCTTTGAATATCTAAGGCGACGCCATGTTCAATGGTCGGTTATGTACCTTCGGAAAGATTACCCGAATTGGAATATGAGTACAAGTTTGACTTTCTGGATGATACTCGGTGAAAGTAGCTAGCATCAATCCTATGCAAAGCTTTCATCCCCGTTGTTGGACCTCGTAAATATTATAGAGTATTCCAATCATATTACAGTAGTAACTAGTAACCATTTTTTCATAAGCAATCTGTTCAACTCGCTGCACAACATTCATCTCAGATCCAGGGATGATGGTGACAACCTCCCTCGAACTCTTAAGAATCGCCATGTGGGAGTAAAGCAAACTCGGGAGGAAGTAAGGGAGGAAGTAAAATCGTTGTTGTAGTAGGAAGTAAATTGACTTTCAATGGCGCTACAAATCACTAACTACCTCGACATCGAGCCTACCATCAAACGAATACTTTTCTCAAAAACTGCTCACCGACCCAATTCTAACCCCTAGCATAGCATTCAACTGATAGTTTACGAATAGCGTTCCCCCCTCATATTTTCAGACGTTACAACATTCACCAATCGGTCTTCGTCTATCACGACTCGACGAGGAACTCGGCGCCGATCTCAGAGAGCACGGCCTCGCCGGTGTCAATGTAATGGCATACACTATCGAGAAAAAATTGACTGCTAAGTGAGTTCCTTACTAACACGAAAACAATTTTTTTCTCGGCGCAAATGCGAATAACAAGAAAGAAATGTATTTAAACTTAAAGGAAAGGGAGTGAAAAAATAGGAACCAGAACTAAAAAAAACAGCTATTCCTGTACCACTACCGTTCTTCCCCGTAAAGTCTATACAGGTCGTTTGTGCAAGAAAAAACGACTTGGAATCATAAGAGACGGTGTTAGCATCCAAAAACGATTTTTTTCAGAATGAAGATTTTTATTTTTGCGAGTATCCCCTCAGAAGCAAGATATAACTGACTCATACCAAATTCTCCTGCAAATTATTGCTAAATACACAGTATTAGGACCCATGGTTCTCACAAGATAAAAGAAAATTCCCCGAAATAGTGGACATTGTTGACGTATATGGCCCGTTTTGGACTAAGCCATGCGGTCATCTCAGATCCTACCCACTTGTGGATGTAACTGAATCGGTCAATACAGGATTAGTTTCATTACCAGTTTAATAGCTTTGAAAAACTGCTCTTCTTTGAAATTATAAGGCTACCCGACCCCACTTATCGAGTATTCCCCAGTATTTGATCACTGTCACATGAAAGGACTCGCGAAACTGACGAATTGCTTCCTCAGGACCTTTCAACCTTGTGACTTACAAATTACCTGCCCTCAGTCACGTTCATCAATCAACCCCCTACTAACTCTGTTGGAGAGCAATCAAACAGGTTTTCGCATTCAGTAAGGAGGGCAATGAGTGCGAAAAGTTCAAAAACAATGCATGTTGTCGAAGTTCGACGTAGAAGTGTCGAAATAATTTCAGGAAAGTACAATCCAAGTACATTAGAAGTAATTTTTGGACCATTTAACATTCCAAAATCAAGCTCTCCATAAATGTGTGTTTAGTAAGGATGGAAGCTTCTTATTCTGAAATAAAATAAACTACTATGCGACGAAAAACGGCAGCGACACCAAAACTCGATATTTCCCCTATCTTTATCGAATAAACGCACATGAAGGTTATCCAAGAAAGTTTGAGCGTGAACTAGCTATTCTACATAATCATTTTTGACTGATACAAAAGAAATCGAACCGCAAAAAACCGTAAGAAGATAATTATGCCCAAATTCCCACGGTCGCAGGCATGCACGCAGCAGGGTCTCGCGACAACCCGTAATCACTCAGCGCAATTTTTCAAATCGTACCCTCACACTGCGTGCTTCATCTCCCGGCAGGTGTGGTGAGCGAGGCACACCGATCGGGCACAAAACGCCTTACCCAAGGGAACTCGGGACAACTAGTCAGCATTATAGTTGAGATTTAATCGTGCTATGATGACCTTCCTTTACAGAACGCTAAGTTCCGTGCTGATGGTTATTCTTCGATGGCGAGCGAAGGCAAAGTTGGGAGCTGCCAGACGTCGACGCATAGCTGATGCCGGTCAACAGTCCGAAACATCGAAAGGTGTCGAAATGACACGGCTTCAAAAACGAAACGTGGCCAATACAAGTCGATCACCATCTCAGCTTAGAGCTGCTTGAAGCCAATTCGAAGGCACATTTTTATTAGACCAACAAAATCCGATAAGTATTACTTTACTTACTTGGGAACTCCTCCTGGAACAATACACTCCTTCTAATATTTGCGTTCTTTGTACAGCTCACGGTAAACAAATGGCTTCAAAATGGTTTGTTCTATGCTCTTTATGAGGACCCCTTTAAAGTAATCTCTAAAGCTCTATCTAACACAAAATCCCGAGTCCCGAATATACTAGAGCTTATAGTTGTTGTTGTGTTGTTGTTGTTCTCTATCTTGAGCTACATGATGTTTGTTTACCAACTTGTTCATCTAAGTGAAAGGGCACTGAGGCCGAGTTGGGCCAACGACCAAAAGCTCCCCGCTCGAGCGCCATTCTTATAACCGGGGAAGTGAACAAAACCATGCGATGATCAATGATATCTCAACTACGGGATGAAAATCGTTCTGGAAGAGGTAACTTGTTGGTCGGATCCTCTTCTTTTAAACATGGGTGACCCAGACACCTTCCCCATATCAAGTGTTTATTGATTTATGTACATTCTTTGATTTTTGATCTTTTGGGAATAAATCTTGCAAAAAGACGTGGGTTGTTGCCATGTGTAATCGCAATATTCATGATTGAAGTGTATCNNACGAATAGGGACAGATTTAGAAAAGGATTACTACAAAAATACCATAATTAGAATCAAACACATACCAAAAAACTGTAGACTCCTTGCTGGATATGGTCAAGATCTCGAGCTGTTTCTTAGCTGTACACATTAGGCAAAAATGGTCCCTAATTTCTGCAGACTACCGGATAATCTGCTTTATCGCCAACAACATCAAGCAAGGGCACTCTCTATGATGAGCGTAAGGATGGTTGATCTCAAACTCGCTATAGTATGCTTATACTCCCCAGTGAAATCCATAGAGGAATCTGAGGAAAAAAAGAAAAAAGGAATTTTCATGGAATCCCGCATAAGGGGTAATAGCATCGTACCAGTCTGCCATCCTACTCATCGTGGAACGGCCTCTCAACTTCCCTTTCAGAATCTCGGCGCCCAAGCTTTAGTTCACCTAGGAGAAGGGTACTATTCCAGTAAGACTTATCAAAAGCCTACAGCTGCTGAGAGAAGTTAGAGTTCCTCTCTTCAATCACGATCAGAAAACTAGTTTGTGGCGCACTCCAGCCCTTGTTCGTGATGATATTCTCAAGAGAGAATGACTTAATGAACAATTGGGTCTGAACTCAATGAATACAGTAGAAGATCAGCGGCTCGGGTGGCAAGCATTGTACTCAACTGGCTAGGACAACTAACTAGCAATAGCACAATTATCTAAGAAGTGAAACCAGACAAGACAACGGACTACAAATTGTCGTACGTTGTGAGCTAGTTGAGTCAACGCTACGCATACCAAAATTCACTAATATTCGAAAAACCTCTCATGAATGACTATAAACTCGTTCGTGGCCATGCACATAAGAAACAAAGTAGCATACTTTGCGTCTCTCACCTTGAATGATAGCTATATTTATTAACGAGCTCCCTTAGCTTCACGAAGCACCACTCATTCCCGATTACAACATCTGCCCAGATCTTCATCCGACAAAACCTGTCATCTTCAACCTGAACCAGACATCTGATACGATATCAGCTCTGTGTTCTCAACTCATGTTAAGATGGGAGAAGTTTTCTATCTCCATCTTCGTTATCTAGCCACAACAAGGTATTTTTAGCAGTGTTATCACTACTGTAATACCATCTGATACAAGTAGAGATTGATTGAAAATTTAATCGACATAAAACATGTTCACACATCTTTGAGAGCGTCTCACCTCAATACAGAAAACAGGAAAACATCACAATACCAATCAATCAATAATCATCATAATAATAAACAAAATAAATACCGTAGTTTAGTGAAGTCAGGTGGGAGTGTGCGGATGTGCGACAACGAATGAAACATGAAAAATAACAACAGGGGGGAGCAGCAAAATTCTATACATAATCAGTGTAGTCACTCAGTCAATTCGAGTCGATTAATCGATAGCACAACGAACACGCGCTCGATTAATTGGCCCCAGCGCGAACTGGATGGTTATCGATCGAAATTTGACGCGATTTCTCGACACCGACGAGGGACACATTCGAAGCTGTCGCTTGAAAGGGGGAGGGAAAATGAGGGAAAGCACATCATAGACGACGAGACCCTCCTACCTGGATAGAAACGGTGCCTAGCCTATCTCTACACGACCGCAACTAAAAAGCTACACAAAAATGATAAAATCGCGCGTAAAAAAGACGCGCATCGCAGCAGCACACAATCATCACAATATATTAGAGACAACAAAATATTATACCATGTACGGAAAAACTAAAAAGTTAAAAAAAGACAATTGCGCAGTGTCATTCACGAGATAATAGTGGACATTCTTTGATGTGCCTTGAAAGAGAATACCAGAAAGGACTTTTTGGAGTGGGCATTAGGTACTGAAGTGGGCGTGGCGTTCCAGTGGACGAGTTGTGCACGAACAATGATAGCTCTTTGTGCCTCGTTTTTTGAAGACATTACGTCGCGCCCGCGTCAATGCCATTGACCCACATCCAAATGTTTCTTTGGAATTAATATTAATAAAGAAATCAATTATGAACGACACCTATCAAAAGACGATCCTCACGTTATTGCAACTCGCATGTTTTCGTCAGCAAAAATAAATGAATTAATCAAAGTCAATGCGGAACCGAACAGTTTAGCACGCGACAATTCATATGAGATGACTGAGAGGGTAAAACTAATGGATTCTTTGAAATCTCTGGGACCAACCCGGGGATAGCGGGAGCAGGGGGCGGTCTTGGAAAGCGTACGATACAACGTATTTACATGCGAGAGAGAGAACGGGCGATCCGTACATAGTTCGTTCGACCCAGACACTGTTCACAATTGAAAACTAACACGAGGTGATGAAAGCACGAGTGTCGAGAATCAGTTGATACAGGGCCATGCTTAGCCAATTTAGGCATTAGCGCACGTGCGCGTTTTGGGCGATGGGCGGTGTTAGGGGGGAGAATAATAGCGACCAATCAATACGCATAACATGGACTGCGTTATGCAGCCGACGTGAACGCGTTTAACCGTTTCAAGAATGGGTACTGGGGGGAGGGAGGGTTTAATTGGGTAAACGGTACAATCTATTTGATAGATGTCCGCTAAGAAGGTTGACGACCTGATTTTCATAAAAACCGACAACGACGGTGATATCTTTGGTAGGAGTAGAGACTATCCACATATGGAGAAAATCATACTTATGATTTTCCCTTTATGATAGTATGTGGGCCAATTTCTGAGGTGTAAAAGATGAGTTATTCGTCGAACTGACTGCACGTAGAGCACTCGTTGAACCCGTCATCAATGATGGAGCGAGGCCAGCTGAAATTGAGGACTTTGGTGTGATAAAACACTCGGACAACAAAAATATAAAATACAAGAAAAATGTCACCAAAATATTACACGAGTTACCTAAAAGTGGAAGGACATATGCAAAAGCAACCGATTAATTACTAACTGATGCAGTTTTGACAGTGTGATGGTCAGTTGCTTTTCAAAATTCACTTTGCATCAAATAAGTTTCAAGGGACTTCCATCAAAATAAGTGGCTAAAGCAACTCACTATCTGCTTCAGCAGCTGCTTCGTCACGTCTCGGAGGACAGGGCAGCCGTCGGCGCAGCCATTGATGTTTCAGAGCTTGAGCTGGTGTCATTCGCGTCTCAGGATCCCAATCCAGACAACGCTTCATGAAGTCGATGAACAATTCGTCGCCCTGGAAAAATATTTCTTCAAAAGGGATGTAAATCAGGCTGGACAGGTGCTTTCAACACTTTTTCAAGATCTTCACTAGCTACTAAACTAGTCTAGTCATACGTTAGTCGACCAACAGACCCTATGAATGCGAATGCAAATGTAGCCGTGGAGAAATGGGTTCTATCAAAGTAATCAGGTAAATGTCGCTTGGCAACAGCCACTTAATCAACTGTAACAAACAAATGGCCACCTAATTACCAAATCGAATTATTTGAAATGGGCAGGGGTGAATATAAAGTAATTCATTCTTAATGACTATGGTCCAACAAAATATGCAGCAACATTCCTCTAAAACCTCCATTAAACATTACGAGCTAAAGGTAATAAGAAGCTAAGAAAAAGAAAACAAGTAAAAGTAAAAGAAATGATTACTGAACCTCACCATGTTCTTCAAAGCCGTATTCCAGCTTCGGCTTCCTGGTGGACCACGCATCTTCCCGCGTTTACTACGGGCACCACTTAACACTACAGAACCATCAGGCATAACCGATGCTGTGCAATAACGGGGATAGCCCTAAATAAAGGTAGTAAGGAAAATAATGAAAAAAATAGTGATGAAACGTCAATAACAAGAAACGTCATGAAAAAAAAAATTCAAAACAAACCTTTGATGATATGAAAGTTCGTGCTCTTTTCGCATTCTCTAGCACCTTATTCGACGGCATGCCAAGTAGCTCAATTATTAATGCGAGCTAAAACAAAACCATTATATTTAGTTGAAGAGAAGAAAGAAAAATTAAATTTGTTGCTTTGATCAATATTTGAAATTAATCACTAAACAGCCTCTCACCTGATCGTTCTCGTCCTCACCAGGGAGGAGCGGATAACCAGTTAATAACTCGGCTAGTATACAACCGAGTGACCACATATCGATCGGCATGCCATATTTCGAACCAAGGATAACTGCAAGAGTCTTATGTACCTTCGGCATCTTCAATTTATTAGTAAAAGTCAAAACAGAAACCAAAAATGCTGCGAACACACCTTCTGGGGCTCTATAGAATCTCGACTGGATGTATGTGTAAATACGTTGGTCGTCAAAACATGAAGATCCAAAGTCGATAACCTTAAAATGCTTTCGTATTTAAACAAAGAGTTATACCGTAATCGACCAATACTTATGAGAAGCTTGAAATCAAAAAGTGTTGAAAGAAAAAATAGTTGTTTAAAGATCCCCAAATCGCTTCAACCCTTACGAGTTAAAAAAGCGTTGGGTATACAATGAAAACTCCCGTAACAGTACACAAATAACCAACTATTGAATCAATACGACCGCTTGTTCAAGAAAATCACAATTACGAAGAACGAAAAAGTGAAATCCGAAAAAAAGAATTACTGCACCAAATAAGAGCTTCGTAGTTTCTACTGCAGAGCTAGACAAAAATAGATTTCAGACGAATCAATTACTGAGAGCAGGAAAAAATGCCATGCACTTTCAGAGAGTTTTCAGTTTAACGGCCTTCCTCCATTAGGTCCCCAAATTAGAATAACGTCCCAATTCCCTCAAGCCGTTAAAAAAACAACCATGGAGGGTGCGCTGCTTCTTATTCCAATGAAAAAAGCACAGGCGAAAAGTACACATTAGCAAAAAGTAGGGAAAAAAAACCATAGGGATAAGACAAACGATGTCTGATAAAAAGTAAACATCGAAGGAAGTAAACATTCAAGTCATCAATTCATCTTTTCCCCTCTTCCTAACCAACGATTTTCGAAAGATTAAAATAAAAGGGAGTGAATCAAGAGAACTCGCATTACCTTAATTCCACTTCGCCCTTGTTGTTTCAGCAAAACGTTTTCGGGTTTCAGATCACAATGTATCAGTCGATTCCGTTGTAACAAATCCAAGCACAGTAGCATTGAATAGGCAAATTTTCGTACTAACTGAAAACATCGGCCAATACCAAGGTTTCAAAGAGAAAATAGAGGAAAATCATTTAGAAACTCATCAAACGACCTACTTACCATCAGGCTGAATCCTTGGAATTTATTCTTCTTTATAAGCTCATAGAGATTGATATTCAACAGCTCAAACGTAATACATTTATGATTACGGAAATTAAAATAATCCAACATGTGGATTATATTATGCGAGCCGTCCGTGTCTTGCCGACGCAGATGATCCTGAAATCAACGAATTTGAGACAGAGTCCCGAATCGCTCGAAGGATACTGTAGGCGATAAGTATAAACACTTACCAAAATTCTTATCTCTTCGTCGGCTTGCCGATGAAAACGTTTTTCATTTCGCACTAATTTTAGTGCCACATATTGCTGATATTTATGATCGTACGCTTTTATCACCTGGAATTACGATCATATCAACTGGCTTGGCCAATGAGCAGTTCAGTTTGTACTTTTAGAAGAAAAATAGTTGGCAGACAGATCCTGATATAAAAAATTGAACATTGGCCACCTCTCCGCAGGCTATTAATCACAATAAATAACCCCAAAAAAATGTCTCGCTATACATGCAATATTTCATCGTACGCCTCCCGTACTTCCCGCTAGTGACTCAGACATTTGACGTTTCCTGCAAGCCGATAGTTTATAACTCGCTAGTTGACGCTAGACGACGCTGACGAGACTAATGCTTAGATTCTCCGATAAAAACGCCAAGCCTGACGGCTTGCACAGCTCCGAGAAACGATGTGGACGAATTTCTTATGATGAATTGGTTTCCAAAGGCAAAAGTCACGACATATGACGTCATTTGGAAATATTTCAGATTTCCAATTCCATGTTGAAATAGCGGAAACAATTCTCCGCCTTCTTATCCATCACTGCATTTCTAGCAGAAGGCGGTACACAAAGCCCCATGAATTGGAATTTTTTATTCGAAAACGCCCTCGAAAACGCAGGTGCTTCGAAATAAAAATGATTTCCGTCTATGCATAGCCGATGTCTGTTGCCCATATGAACAAGGTGTACAGTCCAAAGGGTGGAGTAGCATTGCGCTATCAATAGGCATCGAACACGGCAGGTTTTCCACCAAAATGGGTCAATGACAACACCGTTGTAAACAACAGAGCTACAGTGCTTTATGTGCACATGTATGAGTTCGTTTCCAGCCGAAAGGACGGGTTTAGCCGAAAAAAAAAAACCACTCTTGAGAAACTTTCGATGCTGCAGCGAGAAATGGTAACTAACAGAAACATCATATCAGAACAACTTTGCAATCATTGGACACTTAGATGGACAACTTAAATGTACCATGAACCCTTGTGACTAGTCTTGAATCGGATGATACACTTTCACGGTGTTAAGTCTTAATAATTTAGGGTAAGCGCTACTGAACACGATATTACATCCATTCGCCTCAAAGGGTTCCTTTCAGTGCCCCCATAAAAACAATCGGGAGATATCGATTGGACGTCTTTGAAGTTCCTGCCATTCCATCAATACGCTCCTGAAGGTGCGACAAGGGCACGTACACAGTCTAGGTGAATCGAAAACTGCTTTGCCACATAACCGGAACCGGCTAATTCAGTCACATTTCGCTCCGTACTTTCCATTTTCAAATATCCACCGCCGCCTCAACTCCAACCAATCAAGGTGCCCTCTGAAAAACACTGCACTCCCTCCATTTGAACGTCCAGCTTTTCGAGATTGCTGGAAATCTAAACCCATGGGGATGGGGAACATCGATAGCCTTTCCTGAAGGAAGGGACGCAAGTCATCTTGTTAGGCATGCAAGCCAAACAGTAGGCACTCATTCAAGTCACTAAAGCTCGTTTTCAAGTGTTTACTCATGTCGACTGGACAGCCAAGCCTTGCCAGGGTTTTGGTCCCTCGACGGCGGATTTTTTTTCGTAATCCCTCGACAGCGAATTCATCGTAAACACGTGCTGATTCTATTTGTTAATCCCGTGATGATCTTGTTGACAACTGTATATGAATTGCAACTCAGTAGGTTTCCCACAGTTTTGGAGCTTCTTTAGGGCTTTCTTTGGAAATCCATCTACTGCTTGGCACCTCCTGCCCATCAAAATCAGACCGTATTACAATGATCGTAATTCGAAAGGTGTAAATTATATGGAATAAATTAGGAGCATGACAGCATGGGCAGCAGAATCAATAAATTGTGGACCTATTTATTGCATGCTGTTCCCCAGCTGTCTCCTTGGAAGGTAAACTAATCCAGGAACGAGGGATTCCATTTCACAATGGAGACCACTTTACCCACTCTTGCTTTGGTAGACTACCTGTCCTATACAGTTTGTTCAGAGTGTTCGTAATCATGAGCACTCGGAAGAGTTCTCTGAAACCAGCGGTTGTAGAACCCTTAAGAGGAAAATCGAACAGTGCCACATCAGATCAACCGGTATGGGCGTTATAACAAGCACGGGGTCCGGGCCAATCTCCTGGAGAATATTCAAGTTGACGCGGATAGAACGCCAATGATTCGGCCGTTCCCGGTTGAAAATCATCAAGTCTGCTAGATTCCCTCAGACAAACCCGAACGCGACTCCCGCCAGGTTCTGGACAATCATCTAGGCTCTTTTATCTAACTCCTCCCATCTTGGTACCTTCTTGAATTCAAACCGTTAGATGCTCATTTGTTTTTTAGCAATTTCATTATTTCTCGTCTCAAAGCCTCTTCAAGGGGCACTCTGCACACCCGATTGGGTGGCCCCAAGTTTTTCATCAAAAGTGCAACAGCAGATGCCGTGTGACACGAGCCTTCTCTGAATGAATGAATGAGCACATCAGTTGACTGACTAAGCGGCTGTAACTATGGTGATCGTTCCCAATACTTCAAAACAAGTTACCGTATTTTCCGAATTCCCCCCTTTCTGCAAGAAAAAATTCGACTCGGTTAGCTCGCAAGCACGCTACCCGGGCCCAGAACGAGTATTTCATAGAATTGATCGGCTCTCAAAAGGACACCTTTCGGGCAGCCAAGGGACAAGGGCTCCAGTTGTGGGTGAAAGTACTTCACCATTGTTCTCGAGAGAAATTAGAGTGGAAAGTACCGAAATTCCAGCTAAATTGCTGAACTAGGATAGTACTACTTTGTCAGCGAGGTAGTTGAAAAATCCAATTCAAAGAAATACTTCACAAATCCCATGAGTCTTAGGGGAAATCTGGTCGCCTCTGGCATTCCCCTTTTTGCAGACAGTTATGAAAAACGATTACCATAACCGGCTAAAACCGCTCTGGGCAGCCACCAGCCCACAAAACAAGTGCACTTTCATTCTGAATTTGCTTTCGTTTCGAATAAAAAGTCATCCAATGAATGCATGACTAGTTCGCTCACAACAGCGATTCGCCCAAACAACATCCCATGAGCTTTCAAAACGCACAATTGTGGAATCTTTCGGGCTACTTCGGCAAGGCATCGTTTGCGGTCACCCTAGAAACCTGTCCTTTCATAGGATGATGGCATTTCCATTCAGATGTAGTCCTATCTTTTTGCACTCTATAATAAGCTTTTCTAACGGGTGTAATATGAGAAAAGGATATGGGTGTAGAGTAAATATTTTGGGATTTGCCAAATGCAGTCATCGGAAAGCCCCTTCTAGCATTACACAACCGCTTGTATCCATAACCAATCCGAAAACAATATACAGTTGGTCTTAACAAAAGTAAGAAAGGATTAGATGGCGCTGTTCGGTCAAGACCCTAAAATGTAGGTTAACCTGGATCTACCGTCCAGGGATTGTTCTGGGAGGAGGGGAAAACAATCACCTACAGATCTGGACATCCTGGAACTCATCATTGCCAGTGTTATCAGCGCCCTTCCATCCAACACATTTACCCTACCTGTAGACCTCCGCTGATTCTAATGCCACTGATGTTCTTCTCCCGGAACATTCTACCCAGATCCCTCTCCCCGCATCCGGTCCTCTTCAATTGTTGCCACATGTGAAATTGCAGACGCCTTACTAAGCTGACATCGTTGAAGCAGCGGAGCGATCGATTCGCTTTGCTCACAAGGCAATAACATAATCAACGACGTCGCATGTACGGAAAGCACCCGAGACGGCGGCAGAGGCGGCGGCGGCGGCGGTGACGACCGGCCAGCGGAGAAGGCGGCCTGGTAGGCAGGCGGATATGAGCCGTGTCCTGCGTCGTCTTTATGGCCTTCCGGCAACATGCCCGTCCAAGCTTATTCGGGTCCACAAAAACATAGTCAGCAAAACTTTGGGAAAACAACGAGCGATCACAAAATGATAAAGCACAAACCTGGCCAAATGAGCCTTTTCCAATAACTTTAAGGATCTCGTATCGATAGGCGATATGATCATGTGCAACCAGTTGATAGCTACCATTTTCGTCATCATACCCGCAATTGTTTGGACCACCTAAAATGAGAATGAAAAGTTAAATAAAGGAAATAAAGGGCTTGACTTCACCTAGGGAACCAGTAGTCCTGAATTCCGAACGTTTTGTTAGCGCTCCAATCGAAAAATTTATTCCTGAAGCTTCTCTTTCTTAGAGCACCTGATAGGTATCATTAGCTGGACCACTTTGTCGGAATATATACTTTTCCAGCACTTTCTCACTAGCTATCAAGCCCATGCCAGATTTAGAAACGCGCGTGAACTGGGTCAATGGGTTCTTCTGGACCAACTCAATCTGCCCTTGGTCCTCTCTCAAAAGCCAGTAACGTACTCTACAAGGTGCAATCCTCCACCGCCCTTATACATTCGATTTTTTCACATCTAGGAAATGACATCACTCGCTCTTCCCTTGCCCTACCAGATAGGAGAAAGTCAGCTGAGAGCTAAGCCATTCCAAGGCGATCTGTCTCTCGTCTGATTGATAGACAAAGACAAAGAGTTTCTTATCCGGATAATTCCCCACCTCCTACCTTAACACCTATTCGCTTTACCAATTCCATAATCAACTCGCACGATATCTCTTCTTTGTCGAGCACAGAATTCTGTTTCCAGACCTTAATCGTATACATCTGAGTGATTAACTATGGGGACAAAGAAGATTTGTCAAATACCTCTCATAAGCCTACATAGCAAAAACTGCCCAACAGACGGAGTAGAACCCGAGGATCGGAGAATCGATAAACTGCAGGGCCTGTCTCTCTTTCCTGCGCTACTGGATATGAAAAACGCACAGCGCATACCCATTTGCCCAGGTTTCTAGTCCATGTCCTAAATATTATCAATGTTCCCAGCACCTAGCTCATGACTAATCGACGCTATTATATTCTAAACCAGAGCTATGATGGTTTTGTAGCTGCAAGTAGAGGTCGACTCTATTCTCTCAAATGGGAATTAGAAATAAGATTCTTAATGGGAAGAAACTCATTAGAGTTTGAACAGTCATGCCACTAAATGCAAGTGAAACTTGCGACCATAGAGCGAGTTCAGAGGCATAAGCATTTTGCAGTATTTACAAGTTCCCTACTGAACTCTCAAGGTAGCTACTGAAACTAGCATTAGGCTCGAATAGTCCTGCCCAAGCCACTATATCTGAACGGTTATCCGGAAAAATTTGGGATCGATTGGACAGTGGCCTTCAAAAATCAGAGCCACTTTTAAAACTCTAGAATTTAGCGAAATATAAAGAAAAAATCGGAGAAAAAAAGAGAATACGCCACAGTGGAGTGAAGAAGCAAAAGTAAGTACCACTTACCAATCACGCCTCCACGTTTCTTTGCTTGTGAACCGACAAAGAATACACGGACATAGTTGAATATTTCACTCTGCTCATACGGTAACAATTTCGTGCCAAACGTTTGAATCGCGTCTTCCGGTCGAAAACCCTAAATAAACAGGCATAATTTAATACTCAGACCTTTCAGTATACCTTATGGTACTGTACTTTATGAATTTTTGATGAAGTATGTCCTTCGCGCTTAAACCAGCGGAAAGTGCATATGATGCCAAAAGCCATGGTTTATTTTATACTATGCCCCATGGCCTAAGCATAATTATACTTCTCTATAACGGGTTTGTTTTAATAGACTATTCTTCAGAAATAATACCCCCAAAGACCCTCCTAACCAGACCCGCCAGTCACGTAGAGTACGCAGTTATACGGCAGCGCTAGTTGTGAACAAAGTGCAAAACATTTGACATCGAGACGTGATTTCCTGCGAGAGATAGATTGAAGCTATTACACCTTCACAAGATTTAGAATCCAATTATCAACTAATTGAAGTTTTTTTGCCAATAGCACAAGACTATGCAACGGGTTGATTTTTTGGATGTTAGAAATCCCATAGAATTATGAAAATCGAAAAATTAGCAGTAAAGCTGCTATGAGAAATTTTGGAGGTGGACTCCCACTGACACGCGCGTCTGCGTCGCGTGTTGCGAGGTGGCCGCTTCGCGACCGCACGCGCCAATGGCACTTACACTATACGGTCCAATAATTATACAAGGAAGACGAAAAAAGATGAGTAACCACCCAGAGGAAAAGTTATTTGCAACTTATCGCACCATACTACTCTATAAAAAGGTTTTTCTCAGGCAACCCATTCACTGTCGGTTGAAGACTGAATCAGTCCAACAATCCTCTCCAAGAGAAGGAAGAATGGCCACTGTGATTCACCACATAAGCATCCTCAATCCCACTTGAAACATTTTAGAAATCATAAGAACTACGAAACCCCACTGACCTTATTTCCACCGCCGGACGAATTGTTCCCTGTACTGTTTGAATTATGACCTCCATTACTGCCACCGGATGATGAAGTATGTGATCTGTAAAATACAAAACTCAAACGGATTCGCTGGTGGATGGCCTCTTCTTTGCAAGAGTGCACTTTTTCAATTGACAGATATGAACGTATTGATTCCCATACGAAATCAGGGTCGCGAGATCCCTTCGAAGGATGGAAGGACGCAGACAGACGCGACCAAATCGTAAACTCAAACACTCCATCGTCACATAAACAAAACAAAGTGAAGCGGCACTAATCTAACGGAATTATTGAACAGACCACATGGGGTTATTTACCAGTTGGGAGCATCAGTTCTTCCCCACGATCATCTACTATGACTTGCTGCGTACGCCAGTCGGTCACAAAGAATTTTTATTTGAGAGGAATTAATCAGCTGACCCACCCCGTGACGGCTTACATCTGCTAGGTATAGTTTAGAACAATACTTAAATCCATGCCGCTGTTAACTAAATGGCTTTCCGAGCAAATTTATGGCCCCTAGGCAACTAATTCGCTTCTGCACTTTTGGGAGAATCGATACCCATAAAAATCACCAGGGGAAATTCTTTAACAAGGAATGGAAGTGAGGACACAACTAAATATTCGCCTTTTCTGCAGCCAGCATCGTCAGTTTCAGGTAATTTCACGACAAAACGCGGATTTCGGGAGTCGGGGAGTTTTTGCGACATCTCAAAGACTCCCAACAACACCTGCATTTTGGCCTACGCTATGGGATGTGACCAAGAAACGCTACTGAAATCTATAACTGAAAAAATAACAAACTCAATGATGTTTTTCCTTGCAGCGAAGAAACACAACAGCAAAATAAACAAACGGAAGGTTGTGAAGGACATATCAATCATTCAACCAATCAATGATCAATCAGTCAAACAACTGGGTGGGGAACCTCACCTCAAGGATTCATCACTGGGGCTTTTGGTCATTTTATGCCGTTGATCGGGCAACGTGCTCAGCGCCGAGACGCTAGCCGATAGATGCTTGGCGCCTATGGACGGTGCGCCTCCGGATGACGTGGACACTGATGAGCCTGGAAACAAAGGAATCCCAATAGCAACTATGTCAAGGCAGCGGACGACATTTTGTTAAACTACGCTTAGTGTTTCTAATAATAAAAATCCCTTGAATCAGGGCATCGTTCTGATGAAGATAAAAGTACAATGTTGATAGCACTGGCAGCTGTTGAGTAAATAAAAAATTAAGTCACTAAAAACCTCTACAGAGCCTGGTTTTTCGGTGAATAAAAATGTATGAAAACAAAGTACAGCAAAAATTTGCTTCGTCCTGTTCCTGTGTAGGGCTGAAGTGCATTTTGATAAATCTTTGGAAAACATGACACAAACTGCACAGCCCTTGTATTGATATCCTATTTTGCTGGAGGATTACTTCCCCAACTGGGAAGGGATTCGCTAAGAATCCTTGGAGGCCTATTCCTTGTGTGCTGCCTACGCTCCCATACAGTAGTGTTTGAAGATGTTAGATGATGTTGATGTTTGATGATGTTAGATGTTCAAAAACTAATGTTGCAGGAAATGATTCCTCTATCCAGGTCCCTATTCTAGAACATTCCGCTCCCCACAGAACTTCAGCGAATGGCGCTGAAGTGAGCGTGCGCCGTCATTGGGAGCGAGTGGGGGGCAATCCATAACGATGCGCTTCGGATTAGGCACACACCGAGTGAATATATGCAAGGCGCATGCCTTCTACACTGGACACATGAGCATCGTGACATTCAGATGAACACGAAAACTGTCTGTCGAGTAAGCCAAATGGGAAGTCCTACATTGCGCCACGAGTTCCTCGCCGTGGGAGAAGGCCGAGAAACCTGACCACATCAAGATTTCACACAAGCAACCGACAAGACGTGGCATTCGTCAATCACCGAATGACACTTAGCATTTGCTACTGAAACGTAGCATCAATGCTATCTGGCTGTTGCGTGCGATATTCTGAAGCCCCAACCACTTCTTTTCGATATCCGAGAGAAAAGACAAAAATGTAGCCTCTCTGCGTCTATATCCTGAAAATTCAGGAAGGATTCTGCTCCAGGAACCTTCAGCTTTGTTACAGATTAGAATCTGGGTAAGAGTTGATCATTACCGTATTCTCGACTTTAATTGTGTTGTAAAAACTTCAATTTGGAGAGCAATTTCCAGACAACATTTCCATCAGCCTTCAACCAGCAGCCATTCTACCGACTCCAATTCAGCAAGTGGGAGCTGGTTTTCAGCTCACACAACTTCCCAGAGAACACATAAGAAACCGTCTTACCCCACATTGATCAATATAATCCAGTGATAGTGTTATTGTATGCTGAAAGATTGATGTTTTCTTACATAATGTAGGAATTCCCCTCTAGAGTACTTCGACTCAATAGGGCAAACCGGCTTTTCAGTGCACAACTGCAGCTTGAAATTCCCATCATTTGCATGTTGGCAGTGCCCGGTCTCATTTAGAATACCCTAACTCAGCTGCTTATTGAAGACGCCGGAAATGACTGTGGAAAAAGAACGACAGAGCCAGGCAAATTCAGATAATTGCTGTTTGGGAAGAGAAATAGGAAAGGATGTAGATGAAATACGGGCCTGAAATGAAGGCCGATACTTACCACGTAACTCGAACAGACTAGCGTACATTTCTCGTTTCTCGTCGCATCTTGAGTTCCGGCGCTGCGAGCAGCCCACAGCGGCACAGTCGCGCGGCCAACTCGTATGGAATAATAGGTGGGTGATTGCTGTCGAATGGGCGAAACAACGACGACACGTCGAACAGCACACTTCTGCTGATGATTCGGATGCAGTATGTGATGATGATGACGACGGCAGGGCTGAGGTGAAAGAGGAGGAGAAAAATGCGGGATACACTTTGGACGGCGTCTCGGTGAGGAACGCCAATCACAAACAACACTTTCTAGGAAAGCAGCACAGCGACTCCCAAGTGTGTAGCCGCCGGCCGAAGAATTAGAGCAGGAGGGCGCCGGTTAATGACCAGCAGGCTCGCTGACGACTAGCTGGGCCGGGCTGGCTGGCCTGGGCTCGACTGACTGGCTGGCTGACTGACTGACTGACTGCCTCTGACTAGCCCTTTACGTCCGCCTACTCGCCTCCCAGCAAGGCGGCTAATCGAATAGCACACGACAACGACGACAATGCCAGATTCCTGCTGCCGTTGTTAAATATGATTCTGTTGACGGTTGATGGAACGTGCTTCATGAGGCCCATTTCCACATGAATCCCTATGCAAGGCTGATGATCTGCTTTGGTCGCACTCTCAGCCGGAGCTCCGACCCAGAAAACAGCGACCTCACTTCCTTTGACGTCAACAGGGCCCGTGCCAGTACACAAGGAAAAACATCGGCTGAAAAGCATGGCAGTGAGTGGCTCTCCTTACCCAACCCCCTTGAGTCTAAGCTATGCATATCCGGGTTTGAATTCTATACCCATAGGCCCATTCGGTTAGCAAGGAACTCGTTACCTAGCTACTTCGAGCGACCAAGTAACTTCATTACGTCCGCAGTTCGATACCGAACCTCTGAAGAAACTTCGCCCACACTACGAATTTCACAGCGCATCCGGGAAAACTCTCCACGTCAGAATTCAGTAGTGCCATCCTTGACTTCATTCTATTGGTTTGCTGAATTCATTGCAAACTTAACTGTCATAAAGAAATGGTCAAAGTGGGAAGCCCTTAGAGAGGATAATAGGAAATACGTAACGGCGAACGCCGAGCGACGGAAATTGAGAGGAGGCACACATAGATTGTGGAGAACACAACTTGGCGGGTTCGATTATCTCTAGACATTCATTTACCCTCAGTCGCATGACGAGCCTAATTGGCAAAATCCGCTGCCCACTCATCGCGTTCACGTGTTTTCAGCTGGGACCAAAGCTTTCAGGTTCCTGAAGGAGCGCACTAAGGACGCAGAGAATCTAACGAAATGGGTTTGGCCCTCAGGGATGACATTTGGAACATCGTAGTATGAAAAACAGATCGGACAGAGCGTATTAAGCGCTCTAAAACCGGCTTGACCGACGTACACACCCTAAAATGGACGTCTTGTGCCGGCCTTGTTTAGGCTGCACCACTAGCTATGGAGCACACATGTTGAAACCCAAAGCGATTCATGGCTACAGTGGAAGACAATTTGACATTTGCGGCATACTGTAGCCAACTTTACGCAATCTCACACATTGACTGCCTTGTAAATACTAATATTATCCATGTGAAGTGATGGTTTATCGCTGATGGATTGACCATTTTCCAACCAGACTTTCGCAGAAAAGCGTGGTTTTGCAAAAGACTATGACGGTGTAGGCGTATGGGCAACTAATCAATTCTCATATCCGGGTATACGAAGGCTTCAAGTATCTACTTTGGTGTTGATTTACTGACATGAGGCACTGACGCTAAAACTTCATTTCGATTCCATTTTGACGACAAAAAAGGTAGAATCACTTCAGAGAGAGAGAAGCTTGCCGAGATATTGGGCAGAACTATTTGGAACTGGTTCTGGTAAAGTTAAGGTAACTGGAACCGACAGATACTTAAAATTCAAACAAACTAGAAGGTGTTACATGTGTCATTTCAATAACAAACGATGTCAGAAACTCGACACCAAGCATCAGTCTGAATTTATCCATATAATTTGGGTAAAAATCAGTATCACGTGCTCGGATAATCAGTGATAAGCCATGATCTGGTACGATATGCGTCAGAAGTCGCCGAAAATGAGTCCTATGCAGTGTGTCCTACCTTGTTTACGCTTACTTTTGTCGAGTTAATAACCTCATAAACTCAACTCTAATGACTAAAGCAAGAATTGAGATTATGAGGATACTAATTTGTCACAAAATTATATTACAATTTACAGTTGGTACGAAAGTAACCGATTAGGTGACGTGCACCCGATGACGTAACCTGGGCAATAATTCCACATGGGAAGTGCTGGGCAAATCTTTTATGACCACCGTCGAAGCGCTCTAGCCATCAAAGATTGGGAAAGACGATTAAAGAGATGTGTTATCGCCCAGCGTCGTAGTTTACTATCTCCATTC